CAACAAACCAGATATGTGAGTTCTCTTTCGACTCCAGCTTGACGTGTTGATAAGACAGACGCAGGCGAGCTTGAAACTGCAGTCCACTTCAGCTCGGACGAGAGCACCTTTTGGGAAAGCAAGGCCATGTGAAATCAACTGAGAAGCATCAGCTCTAGCCGCATCAATGTGTGAAAATTCAACTACCACTCCTTCGTGACCTTAAACCAAATAGCATGAACATAACGCATATAACGATAGAAACGTGTGATATAAGCAGCTTGTGTGATTATCAACAGTTTGTGAATAAGAGCCAAGTCAGTTTGGGTGTGTTGAGGTGATTTAAGCATTGATACTTTACTTTTCCCACAATCAAACAACTGAGCCTCAGCCCGACTGGACTGGCGGCAGGTTCGACCTCGCCTGAACTGGTCTCGTCGGCGCCCATTTCGGGTTTCGATAGCGACTCGTGAGTAGAGTGGCGCTGGTATCGCCGAATTTCGCTACTCGGCCACGCTAGTGAGTAGTAAGAAGGATGCGGCATTCAAGGCAATCCAGGCCTCTCGCAACTCACATTTGCGATGCGGGTGTCGCTTAAGTTATTGTTGCCACAGAAAACTGTAGCAAGACTGCTGTGGAGTGAAGACTTTTGAATAAGGTCGAGAGGTCCTCGCCTCACCGACCTGCGACACCGATGAACTTGTGCTAAGCTCTCGTCTGTACCATCTTGACAGACATCATCTCGGCCATAATACATGCCTTAAGGAAGGGCACAAAATATACCAAAATATGCAGCATCGGTAGAAAGTGAAGCAAGAAGTACTTATGCTTGATTGACAGACCCAACGACGGAGAGGTTGTTGGTCATGCTTTTGCAAATAATCATACTTTCTGTATGTCTTAGTTAGTTCCCTCTCCATATTTCTCTCTCGCATACGCACACACATACACATGCACAACTAAAAGGTTCATCAACTTAGCCCGACATGTGTCAGACATGTCGGAGTTTTGGTCAAACAGGAAGCTGGTACCATGATGACTGAGGAGAGATAATACTCTCAGTTCGAATCTTATTTAATTTAGTATACATGCCTACACATGAAGGCGCATAAGGGGACATACATATGCACACACGTGTCTATAGGTTTAATTATGAGTTAAACTGATCAAATCACTTCATACCTCGTTAAATGCATAGTTTTACGATATATTTTGGGCATTTATGGATAAGTCGTTGATTTTTTCGGATTATCGTTGACGCAAAGTAGCAATCGGTTATACTACTTATTTCCGTGTACAAGTAGGCTATTAATACTTGGGGTATTTACGCTATTTCATTTAAGCTGATCAACGGACTGGTAGAAGTGGGTTGACCTCGTTGTCGCAAATTGGTCTCCCTAATCTTCCGCTTCCTTGAAGCTCTTTTTTTCTGTTGCCTTCCAAGTGATTTCGTGTCCAGTCATTGCGATGTGTTTCGCTAGTTCTTATCTTTCGGTATCCATTTTCCTGTTGAGCCTCTGATCTGCCTTGATTCGTGTGCTAACTTTTCTCACTGTTTTGCCAATTTATGTCTGTTAGCACATGCGGCATGATATAAAGTAAACTCCTGAACAATCCAGTTTGTCTACCCTTTCCTGTTGCGTCGGTATACTTGTGAAAAGTGTTGATTTTTCTTCCATGGCGACCCGATTATTCCACTTGCACAATATTGGCCGTAGTTGTTGAGTTAGTTGGAAGGAAGGTAAGCATATCCATATTTGTGAATCCTTCATCGTCTTTACGGTTCCTTCATAGTCCCCGTTCTGCAATCTCATCTCATCTCATCTCATCTCATCTCATCT